CTTTCATGGGGCCGATTTGGTGCTAAGTGTTGTATGGTTGGCGACTCTTGGTCCCACTGTCACTGATTATGCAAAACGATTATTTCAATTTGATTCTAATGGTGAGACGATCCGTTGGATTGGGGATCCTGTTCAATCTGTTGAGGAGGTCCAATTTACCTCGCTTAGGCGTTTAACCGAAACTCATTCCGTTTCGGGATTCTTCCGTTTGGAGTTGCTTTCGATGGCTGAGTCATCTTCTCCGGCTTTGCCGTATGATCTCACCGAGCTTTTGGATTCTTATTCTGACCTTTTTGCTACGGCTACAGTCTTGCCACCCCCTAGGCCTCAAGATCATCGTATCCCTCTTATTCCGGGTTCTGCTCCAGTGAAGGTTCGTCCTTATTGCTATCCCCATTTTCAAAAGACTGAAATTGAACGACTAGTCTATGAGATGCTTCAAGCTGGGATAATTCGTCCAAGCTCTAGTTCATATTCATCCCCGGTTCTTTTGGTGAGGAAAAAGGATGGTGCATGGCGTTTTTGTGTGGATTATCGCGCCTTGAATTCAGTCACTGTCAATGATATGTTCCCAATTCCCACCATTGAGAGCTTTTTGATGAACTCCATGGAGCTTGCTTTTTCTCTAAACTTGATTTATTGGCTGGATATCATCAGATAAGGGTGCATCCTTCTGATATTGCTAAGACTGCTTTTCGCACACATGAGGGCCACTATGAGTTTATTGTCATGCCTTTTGGACTGTCAAATGCGCCATCCACCTTCCAGGCAACTATGAATTCTGTTTTTAAACCATTCCTTCGTCGTTTTGTCCTAGTTTTCTTCGATGGCATTTTGGCCTATAGCCCGTCTTGGTCGGATCATCTTTCTCATTTACGATTGGTCCTTGATCTCCTTCGCCAAAATTCCCTTGTTGTGAAGCGCTCCAAGTGCAAGTTTGGGCAGAATTCCATAGACTATCTGGGACATGTAATCTCTGCAGCAGGATTGCAAGTTGACCCGGCAAAAATTCATGCCATTACCGCGTGGCCACCCCCAGCCTCTGTTAAATATGTTAGGGGAATTTTGGGTCTTACCGGATATTATCGCCGATTTGTTAAGCATTACGCTCAATTGGCATCTCCTCTGACTGATCTTCTTAGAAAGGATGCTTTTTGTTGGACAGATCGAGAAACCAGAGCTTTCACTATGTTAAAAGATGCCTTGAGCTCTGTTCCTGTTCTCGCACTGCCCGATTTCAACAAAATCTTTACAGTTGAGACTGATGCTTCTTGCACTGGCATAGGAGCTGTTCTATCTCAAGGAGGTCATCCAATTGCCTTTTTCAGCCAAAAACTTTCATCTCGCATGCAAGTTGCCTCTATATATCATTGTGAGATGTTTGCTATAACTCAAGCAGTACAAAAATGGCGTCAATACTTATTAGGACACTTATTAGGATGCAAATTTTTGATCATCACTGATCAACAGTCTCTCAAAGCCCTCACTGACCAGGTGATCCAAACTCCTGAGCAACAAAGATGGTTGACAAAACTCATTGGTTACGATTTTGACATTATTTATAGAGCTGGACGACTTAACGCAGCGGCTGATGCTCTCTCAAGAGTCCCTGCCTTTCAGTCTCTTACTCTTGCAATTACTGAGATGGCACTAGTTACCAAACTTCAGCAATTAAACAGGTCGGACCATGGATTACTTGCTCTCCAACGCCAGTTAAATAATGACCCTGCCGCCTTACCTCATTATTCATTTCAGGGAGGTCTTGTTCTTTTTCGTAACAGATTGGTTATTCCTAAAGATCAAGATCTACGCCGCCTTCTCTTGACAGAGTTTCATGCTTCAAAAGTTGGGGGTCATGCTGGTATCTCTAGGACTTTTCATCGTCTGTCCTCAAACTTCTTTTGGCCCGGCATGCGTGCTGATGTAAAGACCTTTGTGTCGGAGTGCCAAATCTGCCAACAAATGAAGGATACATCTCTGCAACCAGCAGGCCTTCTTATGCCTTTGCCTATTCCTTCTGCAATTTTTGAGGAGATATCAATGGATTTCATTACGGGACTGCCTCCTTCTCACGGGCGCACAACAATGTTGGTGATTGTTGATCGTTTGTCTAAATATGGACATTTTATCGCCCTTCATCCTCATTTCACCAGCCAAAAGATCGCTGCAGTTTTTGTGCAAAAATTTGTTCGTCTTCATGGGTTCCCTACTAAAATTATCTCTGATCGAGACCCCTTATTCTTGTCAGAATTTTGGGAAGAAGTAAACAAGTTGCAGGGGACACAATTAGCAAGGAGTTCAGCCTATCACCCGCAATCCGATGGGCAAACTGAGGCACTTAACAAGTGTTTGGAGCAGTACTTGCGATGCTTTACCCTTATGCTCCGAACACATGGTTTCCACTTTTACCTTGGGCCGAGGTTTGGTATAATAAGTCGTTCCAAACGAGTGCCAAGATGACTCCTTTTGAGGTCGTTTATGGCAGGCCGCCTCCTACTATTTCTCGTTTTGTTATAGATGGAACCACTACTCAAGCAATTACTGAGTCGTTTCGCCAAAGAGATGAGACATTGGGTATCCTTAAGGCCAATCTTCTCCAGGCTCAAACTCGAATGAAGGCGTTAGCTGACAAAGGAAGACGGGAAATATCATTTGAAGTAGGTGACTGGGTCTATGTTCGCCTACGTCCATATCGCCGACTTTCACTCTGGCTACAACGTTACAACAAACTCAGTAGACGTTTTTTTGGATCCTTTCAAGTCATTCAGAAAATTGGCCAGGTTGCTTACAAACTTGATCTGCCGCTATCTTCTAAAATACACCCTGTTTTTCACGTCTCCATTCTTCGTAAGTGCATTGGCAAACCTGAGCACCAAGTTACTCCTATTGACTTGATTAATCAGTCTTCTTCCCTGAACCTTCTGCCTGAGGAGATTCTGCAACATCGAACCATTACCAAGGACCAACATCAACTTTCACAATGCCTTGTCAAATGGGTGGGCTTACCAGTTTCGGATGCCACTTGGGAAGATACTTCATTGCTACAGCGTCAGTTTCCAGCTTGAACCTTGAGGACAAGGTTCCTCTTCAAGGGGTAGGCAATGTTGTGAACCAAGGTATTGGACCAGCTGCACTTGATATTGGGCTAAGGAGAAGCTCCAGGCCCGTTAACTCTCCAAAATATTTCAAGGACTTTGTGGTCCCCAAAGCCAATGGATAAGAGAGGGCACCTGCAATGCTGTTATGCGAGGACAACTGTGAGCACTATTGGAGAAATATTCCCAACAGACATTAGTATAAGTAGTAGTAGGTTTCCCTAATTAGGCAGAAAATATGGCAAGTCTTATTGTTTGTTTTTGCTAAGGAGCAGTCTGGAACCTTTCCCCTTCTTCATTTTTCCTTTCTTTTAGTGTTTATCTTACTTTTTGAGTCCATTGTAAGTAGAGTTGCTAAGTTTGAGATAGAATCAAAGAAGTTTCCTGTTATTGAATCTGTTATCTCTCTTAAATTCATAACAGTTTGATTGTTGAACTTTTGGTGTTTTAGGGTCATTATCTTGTGCTCGGAACAGCTGACTTCCAGCAGCTCAACAGTTAGTGGTATATGTTCTCCCCTTTGACTCTTTGTCTTCTTTTATAATCGTTCCCCACTGGCCCTAGGGATTTCTCGGTTATCAAGAAAAAAGAAAGTACATATTTAAATATGTACAGCCAAAGGACTCGGATTCTCTCCTAGCATTGTAGGGAATCTATAAGTCCATGAAAGAATTTCCATCCACTACTAAAGTCAACTTTTGAAAACATCTGGAATTCTTTTCCTTCCAAACTGCCCAAAATATGCAGAGGTGCTTTTGTACTTTCTGTCCCTGTCAGAATATTATTGCATCCTTCAGTGACCATGGTGTTACCGACTAAACTCCTAATGTGTTAGCGAACATGCTCCAGACTTCACAAACATATAACTATGTAGCAGTAAGTGATTTGGGGATGCTAGACCCTCCATACACATAGGGCATTAGTTGCACAATCTGTAGTCTCTTTCCTGCAGATTATCTTGTCTGTAGCAGCTTCATGTGTGATCCATTCAAAACATGATGCTCTAGGAAGGAATTTCGTTCTTTATATTATCTACCATATCCATTCGTTATAGCAAGATTTCAAGTAAACTTACCCATCTTTGCTTCCTTTCCGCTTTTGTTATTGAGAGCCGAATAACCCTTTAGTTATTCCCGACCATCATTGACTTGATCCTTGGCCAGGTTATGAAAGTGATAGTAGCTCTAGTAAACCTACAATTCGTGATCAGCTCGTTAAGTTGGTTGGAGATCGAGATGATGAGTTCAACATTCCCTTGGGTAAGAATTTGAAAAAGGTTAGCGCCAAGTTAACTGTTTCACAGAAGAGAAACATCAAAAGACAAGCCTACTTGAATGAAAAGTTTCTCAGAGGAATGACTCAGTATTCTTTGCTACAATTGGAGCATTCGTCATCCTTCCACCCCTTGTCATTTTAGGAATTGCAATTGCGACAGGTTATGTGCAGCTATTTCCATGACTTGTATAAAGATCCACTGTTTCTGTTACTAATATAGTGAAAGTATATAAATTTGTGAAAATCCTGCTACTTCTAGAGATGAATGGTCATTTGGAGTTGTACATTAACAGATCATTGCTAGTAAAAGGTGATCGAATGGGCACTTTTCTCTCGCTTGAGTGTCTTTCGTTGTAGGTGTCACCACAAGAACTAGAGCTGATTAGAACTAGCTGCATATGTTGTGATGGAGTTGGATATGCTCAACTCATTGAAATGTAAAAAGGCAGAGGCAGATAGAAAATTTAAACTACAAATGTAAAAAAGGCGGATACAAAATTTCTCATATTAATTGCCGTATATGATGCTCTACATTGATAGTAATACACAAAACTTATGTTTCTGAAACTGTAACAAATTTGGAAATAATTTAATGTTAGTAAAAGGCAAATTATTTGTTTGTCTGAAGTCTTAACATGGCTCTGATGATGGCATGGGTGACATTTCCTTTTTCTCATCTGTTGGAGATGTTTGTTGATCCGTTGTTAGTACTGATTCATTGCCTAAAATCACTCCTGATTGATTTATATAGTGCCATTTTTGTTGGAATAGATAGATGAATGCGATAACAGCAACCTCAACACTGAAATGCCAGTTCCAAATACGTGCTTGTAAACCTGTATATATGTTGACGATCTCAGTGGAAATAAAACCATACGCCCCTTCTTTTGCTTCTCCTGCAAAGGAAGAACAAGAAACAGTACTAATTAAATACATCCCTCTTTCCCACAAGTTGTTGCTGCTATTACAAGTAGAAGAGATCTGCCAAATATAAAAAAAAATTGATGTGAATTTTATGCACTACATAATTATGTAAATGTACGTGAACTTTCTAAATAGAAGTAGTCAGCTGTCAAGTATCATATGTCAAAATAAACGGTTATAACTAGAATCATAATTAACTTGAATTGCGCTCATTTCTAAATAATAAACTGGGAGAGTTAGTTGTAGTACTCAAATAAGAAACTTTACAATTCCTGCCTTTCCTTTCCCACTAAGCATTCATCACTGCTATCAATTTGATGATAAATGGAGTTAACTTACAATTACTTAATAACAAATTGTGGGCTATTTTAATTATTAGCAAATCTATAATCATAGCTCTTACTCTTTTTCAATATCATTAGAGGTGAAAGGTACTTTTATCTAATAAACAAGGTTCAGATTGCTAATAATAGCTTTTGGTTACTGTTGAGATACTGATTTTCATGCCAATAGGCATTTGACATTCTCATTACAAGAATCCCAATAGGCATCAAGAAACCCATGGAAGCTCATAGCAGAAATCCATGTAGGAAAATTTGCACTTAACTGAAATTTGAGATAGATAATTAGTTGCTGCCCTACAAATATATGGGAAATTACAGAACAATAGCTTGAAACTGCCTACTGAGAAGGTTTGAGTCAAGTTTGAGTTCCCATAATACTTTCCAGAGGATAAAAGAAAATTGAAAGACAAAGAATAGGAGATGCAAATGTGAATAACCTCAAGGACTTTGTGATCACTGCATTCGTGAATAATCTTTTTTGTGTGCTTTTGAGTTGAACTGACAAATGGTAGAAGAACAAAAATGAGAATCGCCACGTGAACTATGAGCTTCTGCATGGGCAATATGGTGTTTCTACTCATACTCCTATGTTGCTAATGCTACAAAACTTTGTGTTGGTGAAGAGAGGAAGGAGAGCAGAAAAATAGACAGCTATACTGTACAAGCAAAAGCTGTTGAGCTATTTTCAGCCACCTGTTTAAATTGAGGTGTCCGTCCAGAATAAACGAATTTTACAAGCAAAAATTTGCAGCCTCATAAGTATGGCTTTGAATTTGAGCTCTGTACAGCCTGACTTGATGCAAGGGTAGTAAGTTTTTGTCACATTCTTGAAGATGGAGTTAACCTAACCTCTCTGATTGAGTGCTGATTGTACTAACCTCTGCCTAATATGATATGAATTGATAAGCTAATTTTAGGGTGTTACATATCCTGTAATCCCTTTTGATAGTTTTGTTTGATTGTTGAACTTTTTCTGATTTTGTTTTGATTTAGGGTCATTATCTTCTGCTCGAACGCAGCTGGATCTCTTGGAACAGCTCACTTCCAGTGGACATTGGGGATTTCTCGGTTAAAGTACATAAATATGTACAGCCAAAGGACTTTGAATTTTCATTATTTCAGCATTAGAAGTTAAATAACCAAAAACAAGAAAAACTGCATAATTGGAGACAAATCATGCTTATTGTTTATTACTCATTAAGAAGAAAGGTATACAGAAACAATAGGCTAGCCACACTGTACATAGAAATCAACATTTGAGGGCCTACCCTACCAAAGCAAAAGACTCTCTGCTTATTCAAACCTCATCATACCAATATCAGAGCAAATTAAAACACACAGTACTTTAGTAGTCCACTATGTTATTAGCATGCAACTCCAATAAATGCCTTAGGCCATCTCTAAATCGTCCATAAACCTTTGAATGCTGATGCCTTTCTGCTGCAGCTGTATGGTGATTTGTTGCGAACTTAAACTCGGGAAATACAAAACCGTTTTTGCTGAACAGAGTATCAATCATATTCTTCGAAGCCTCAGGTGTCAGTCGAAATCCATCCCAATGTATATGCGAAGCCCTATCAGAACATGCTACAACTCCTTCCTCTCCACACTGCTTATGCGGATCAAAATTAAACGGACGGCTGTCAGTACTACCGCAGCAAACCTTCATCAATGTCTTAGTCTTGAATCCCAAGAATGCATGATTGCATAGAACCGCCATAAAGGCCTTGAAATAATCTGCATATATGATCTCAACTTCAGGGTACTTCAATCGCAGCTCCTCCAACGCTTGCCATAGATGATCATTGTGCAATGTTGAGAACAAATTTAGTCCTTTGTGGCATTTAATTTTCCTGCTATTATCGTTTTCAGGAAACATTGTTCGCAAACCAGGCAGGCAACCCATGGGAATAATTCCAGAAACTACAAAGTGTTTGGCCTCTTCATCTTTGATCAGTTGTTCGATAGAACTCTTGATTGTCTCCACAACATCAGGGACAAGTTTGGACACTTCGGAAATAGATTTTGTATGCAAAAGAGAGTGCTTGTAATCATTAAAACCAGGCTGATCCATAAAGATGATAGCTTTCTGAAGAACCTTGTTCCTGCCGCAGTCATGAAAAGAGAAGCAATCCTTATAGAAGAGTTTCATAAAGGCAGAAATCTGCGAGTGATGAGACTGCTGAGGCGCTGGGATGCCATTCTTTATGAAGGAAAAGGGACTCATAACTGTTGCTCCAGGCGTCATGAAACTAATACCGGACTCAAACTCAACGCCTTCTTTGGTGTAATGTTGTAGAGAAGGCAGACCAAGCACAGCGGCTAAATGATCAGAAGTAGAAGCAGAATCACTGTCTCCGAAGCTGTAAATGGAATAAAACGGGGAAGTTTCAGCCTGCGCGAAAAAGAAAGAGGAGATCACTAATAGAAAGATGAAGAAACAATGGTTGGTAAGGGAAGCCATTGAAAGAGAAGAAACAACGATCAGGGAATTAAAGAAGGCAGGGGAAAACTTAGTTTAGGTTAGTGGTAGTATTTATAGAGGTCCCTCATCCGTGGAGTTTAAGCAATGTTACAGAAACCTAGTAGTAATAGGAAACATTCTGAAATTTCCATATATTCTTTATTTTCTTACCTTTTGCTTCAAGTTTCTATTTTCCTGTTAGAGAAAGGCTTGAATTTGATCAACAAGACCTATAATTTAGGCAGGAGCCGGTATATATTTTGTTTGATGTTTCTTTATTCAATTCTGAAGCAGAATATAAACCTAAGAACCTATAAATTTAATTAAATGCAAAGAAGCAGAAAAAACTCTGATTGAACTTTGTTTCTGTCAAATGAGCCGAATTCTGTGAGCTAAATAGTATAGTTCCTTTTCTTTTTCTTTTCATTATTTATATTTTTTAACTAAATATGTTAATGGGTGTATCAAAGTGTTCGAATATTTTAAGTTCATCTCTAATAATAATTTATTAAAACATTAGCTTAAAGAAAGGAAGTTTATATATATGTGTCCGTCGGTGCATCATAAGATCATTAGGATGGAGTTTAATTCAATTTGGGCTTGCTTGCTTTCTGCACTGAATTCTTCTGAAGTTTTAACCAAAGGGAGTGTATACGGTCGAAATAGATTTCGGCCTTCGTACGATGATCAAGGTCGAAATATAATGGATAGAAGAAAGACTTCGTAATATCGAGATGGGTTCCGAAGATGGTACAAACAAGCTTCGGATTTCAGGTATAGGTCAAACACCGAGTTCGAAGTCATCATCGAGCTCGGGTCCGGATCGAACTATGATGAGATGATTTCGAGCTTAAGGGGCAGAGGCCAACCGGGACCGAGTACGAATCATCACCTGATCCCGAGTCCGTATCGAGCTCTAGAAGCACTACCTACAGGCACCGAGGCCAATCGAGCTCGAGCCCACAGACAAGGGCCATTGCAAACACACTAAGGGAGAGAATCTCGGCGGAAATAAGGGAAAAGCTGATTTATCATGGAGTCTCCACTATGTATTTTTAATTATATCTAAAGTAGGATACTCCACTATAAAGAGGATGGCTACATTTCTGTACAAGGCAATTTTTTGCTTACAATGTAATTCAAGCACCATATTCTCCTATATTCAAGGACTATTCTTTGAGGCTTTATTAATTGATTCATTTTGCTTAGTCTAAACAATCATCTTCTTTCCAACCTTGCTTATTTTGCATTCTTTGCAATCCATATTTGATATTTCTATTTGTCCTTACGAGTTGTATCAAGCTATATCACATATCCTTAGAACTACGTACAAATTCAACTCTATCCATTTTTCAGGTAAATAATTTGGCGCCCATCGTGGGGCTAAGGATAACAGTAGTTATTTGATACGGATCTGCAAAAACACACCGTTTTGTGCTTGTTTCCGAAAGTATCTTGGATTTCGGATTAGCAACGACTAACTACCAATCAAATGGCCTCACCTATCGACAACGAAGCCGGTCTTCAAGATGAGAACAACAACTTGACACCCAGTACTGAAAGACCACTTGTCAACGCCGTTGGAGCTCGAATCAAAGTGCCGATAGATATCAATTCGCATGTGGCCATTGAGGCGAACCTACATTCTGAACCTGAAAATAGCATTCATGGTGGCACTCAGTCTGCAGCTCGAGATACCCATAACGTCGAGGAAAACGGAGACAGTTTGCGCATGATTTTCAAAATGTTGCAAGCCCAACAGGCAGCAATAGCTCAATTGCAGAGCTAAACGCAGCTACCGAGCAGGTCGGAGCCCAGTCCACTTCGAGAAATCGCCCACAGAACGGAGCCATCCATAGTGAGGTCAAATGAGCAAGAATCGGGGACTACTTCCGAAATTGATAAAATGCTCGAGGATCTCACAAAGCGAGTCAAAGCCAATGATAAAAAAGTAGAAACATATAACTCCAGGGTCGATCAGATCCCGGGAGCTCCACCAATGATAAAAGGGTTGGATTCCAAAAAAATCGTGCAAAAACCTTTTCCCTAGAGCGCAGCCCCAAAACCAATCCCCAAAAATTTCGTATGCACGAAATTCCCAAATATAACGGAACGACCGACCCCAACGAACACGTCACTTCTTACACATGTGCCATCAAAGGCAATGATTTAGAAGACGATGAAATCGAATCTGTTTTGTTAAAAATATTCGAAGAGACCCTCTCGAAGGGAGCAATGATTTGGTATCACAACCTACCACCGAATTCCATCGACTCATTTGCCATGTTAGCAGATTCTTTTGTAAAAGCACACGCCGGCGCTATAAAAGTCGCAACAAGGAAATCGGACCTTTTCAAGGTAAGACAAAAGGATAGCGAGATACTGAGGGAGTTCGTATCTCGTTTTCAAATGGAACGAATGGATATGCCACCAGTCACAGATGATTGGGCTGTCCAGGCTGTCACTCAAGGTTTGAACGAACGAAGTTTGACGGCTTCACGGCTGTTGAAGCATAACCTGATCGAATACCCAGCCATCACGTGGGCCGACGTGCACAATCGGTATCAATTAAAAATTAGGGTCGAAGATGATCAATTGGGGTCTAAACCCGCTGCTCGAAGGGATATTAATCGAGAACAAGGTTTGATCAGGGATCGATACCGACCATATAACGGAAACTGCAGAATCGGTGAATCGAGACATAACCCCGGACAAAATAACAAAAGAAGTGATCGAGGTCAAGGGTCCCGGGGGC